CTGCCTATGGCAGATGCCCGTGGGAGAAACCTGGCAGGTCACGTCACACTTCCAGAATGTGGGCCATGTATGCTTGTCACCTGCATTCCACGAGCATTCCTTGACCAGGTACTAAGCCCAGGAAGAGAGCATGGCTGATGTGGTTCCTGTCCCCACAGAACTGGGAGTCTGGAGGAAACCTTACACAAGCAAACAGGCAAGTACAATACAGCAGGATGAGTTATTTGGTAGAACAAGGCACCATAAACACACAGAAGAGGGGGTTAGTTGATTTTGGGGGGCCTGGGAGGCTTCTGGGAAGCACTAGCCTTGTGTCTTAGCCACATGAGCTATTAACAAAGACCAGCTGGCTTGTATAAGTCAGAAGGTTTCTCACAGTTCTGGAGGCTGGGAAGCCCAAGGTGATGGCACTGGCAAATAGGGCATGTGGTGAGATCCATTTCCTGGTTCACAGTCAGCTGCCTTGGCTCTTGTCCTCACATGACAGAGGCAGGAGGGAGGGCTCAGGGGCCTCATCTCTGAGGACACGGACCCCATTCATGTGACCTTGGCCTCATGACCTAATCATCTTCCAAAGGTTCCCCCGCCTAACACCAAAATGTAAGGAAATAGGTTTGATCACAATTTAGCGCTGGCATGGATTTTAAGTCCATACCGTTGGGTAAAGAAGACTTGGGGGGGGGGTAGGAAGAGTTATTTCAGGCAAATGAAACAGGGTCACCTTTGAAGAATGAGAAAAAGAGAAGTTCCACATGGCTGGAGTCTGGAGACCAAAGAAGGAAAGACGAGGGACCTGGCAGGAGTGGAGGAGGGGTGGGGCAGGGATTTTGGGCCCTGGTGCAGCCTGGGTCAATACTGATGCCCAGCTCCCACCCTCAGCTGGTTTAAAAGCCCCCCAGCTGATTCCAGTGTGCGGTCGAAGTTGGAAGCACAGGCTGGATCATGCGGGCGCCCATACACTGAGCTGACATGCTAGAAGTCTGTCCTTTGAGCAACAGGGCGTCTCACGGTGCCATGGAAGGAAGGAATATAATCGGATTTTTCTTTCTCCAGAAAGATTAGCTGCTGGGTGGAAATAAGAATGCAATGGAAAACTGGGGTTAGAGGCACTATTAAGATGGGGTCTATGGGGTTCAGGTGAGGAAGGGAACCAGAGGTGGAATGGGGATGTCTAGAGGGGAGATCTGAGGCCTGAGTGACAGGGACTGAAGGGGTGGGGCAGACAGGAAGATGAGGGCCGGATTCCTCTCTGGGGCAATGCTGTGAGCAGGCAGCTCAAAATTCCTGACAAGGTTCCAGCTTCAGATTCAGACCTACGAATCAGCAGCAGAGCGCAAATCACTGCATCTAGAGAACGCTGAGCTCCTCAGGAAGAAGAGCACAGCAGCCTCGAGCTAAGCCCCAGCAGAGCTGAGCCAGGGAAGAGCTGGTCAGAGAAGGAAGAGAAAACAGTGATGGCCAAGAGCACCGAAGATGTGTTCGTGAGTGGCTGCTTCTGCTGAGCTGCGTCCACCGTCCCGGGTGACCTTGGCAGTGATGGTGGATGGAAACTGTAGTGATAGCGAGAGCAGGCGTGCCCGACTGAAGCAGTCTTCTGTCTTCGCGTGGCCCCTGAAATGAGTTACTTGTTTCACAAAGGCTTTATTTATTAAGCACTTGAGGTGCTGGACTCCGTGGTCAGAGCTGTGGATAAGATGGCGAGTCCTCAAGGCCTCTTCTCGCCAGGAGGAGACAGATCTTCTCAGCCATGTCACAGACCTGGCACTGGAGGTGCTCTAAGGGAGACTCAGTCAGGGGTTTTAGAACAAGCTGGGCTAATTCCACCAGGGAAGGGAAAGGGCCTGGCAGGAAAGACCTGGAAAGCGAGGGAGAAGAAGGGGGTTTGCAGGCCCTGGCTGTCACTGGGCCCCCAAGGCAGTGTTCACCTCTCAGCCCGAAAGGGAGGAAGGTACCCGCTGCCTGATGGGGCCGGGGGCGGGCGGGCATTGCCTAGCTCTGAGCAATGAACACATTTCTGCAAATGTGTCCTGCTTTGGGGAAAATAGGGGGCAGGCAGAGAACTTTTCTTCCATCTCTTTTTTCTTGCTTCAGCTCAAAATAATCCACATGCCAAAGCAGCATGTTTGGGGGGGGGGGCATGTTCTGCTACCCAGTCTTTTGTTGTTCTACTGCTAGCATGACCTAGCTCTGGGCTCTCCAGGTGTGGGCCCCAGACCAACAGCATCTGTATCACCTTACTGGAACTATCAATACAAATTCCCAGGCCCACCCTGAACTTACTGAAGCTCAGTAGTGTGAGTTTGGGCAAGCCCCCCGGGGGATTCTCCTGCCCACTCAAGTTTCAGGTGGCTGGTCTAGCTGGTGCTCGAAGGCGGAGCAGAGGAATTAGAATTCCTAGAGAAGGTCATTCTTGTGAACTTGAAAACACTGAACAAGAAGACCTTTTCAATGAGGAGGCTCTTCACATCCTAGGCAAGAATTTTCAAGAAAAAAATCTACTGTGTTCATTGTGACAGACTGTGCCTTCCTATCCAAATGCCCCAAACCATGTGGCTGTGGAGTGGGCTCCATCCACGTCACATCTGAAGAAACCCCCCTGCGGATGGGTGTTCTGGATCCAGCCAGATCTAGGGCCTAATGTCAACCCAGAAATGCACTTGTACTTTCCCCAGGGCCTCGCTGTCATAGAAAGTGCTGTCTAAGCCTGAATCTGAAAGGTACATAAAGGTTTCTGCAGGGCGAGTCAGGAGGGCGACAGAAGAGGCCATTTGGTAATGGGCACTATTTAAATGAAGCAGAATACAGTTTCAATTGAATGGCTTTTTAAAGTGTCAAATATAAAGAATCCATTTGTGCATGTGAAATTATTCCAAAGGTTCTAACTATTAACTGAAAACAGGTGAAAGGTGACAAAGAAAAGAAACACTCTATTACAGAATGTTATAAGGACAGACACTGAGTGACTCCTTGGGCCTGTTTTAGATCCAAAACTTTCTATTTTCACCAGCCCTCGGTGAGCTCCTTGGGCAAATGCTTTGAGAAGAGATCACATCCTAGTAACAAGATGCCCGGGCACCTATGGGAGTTGCTGTAACCAACATGACTCTGACTGTCTTATGCAAGGGACTGTAGCCTATTAGTACTTTTACTTTTTCTTTGTCCTTTGGCTTCAATTGGGTGCCAGGCTTCCTTGGCTAGTTTTCCAAGTGACATATTTAACATAATAAAGAGAAGTACTATATAATCTGCTCTTTGCTATTGAGTGCATCCATACCCAGCCTAATCAATGAGAAGAAAATTCTGTAAACACATAAAGCGTCTTCTCCGTCACTGGCAGGCATGCTTGGTAGAAGAGACCAGAGTGGAGGGTGAGCCTCGGTGAGAAGAACCCTCCACAGAGAAACAGAACCCTGTGCTTGCTGTACAAGGCCAACCCCGCCTTTTCCATTCATTTCCTCCAGAGGTTTCCACTGCAATTAGTCTTGTGTTCATGCCTTCAGTATCTTTGTGGGTACTGAAATGGGGTGATGAAAATAATTAGCCAACCTCTTCCCTCCCCTGGCCCTCCAGGTATCTGATACCTGTGTCACTATGCCAGGCTAACACAAGCAAATTTATCTCTGTGAACTCAGCCCAGGGGAGCCCCCAGATGATGACCTGCTTGCTTGTGCCCTGCGGCTGACTTGAAAGGGTCACAGCTCCTCACACTGCAATGTGCTTACAGATCTCCAGGGCGGGGGTGGTCGTGTTACAGATCTCCAGGGCAGGGGTGGTCGTGTTAAAAATCCACTTTCTGACTCAGTGGGTCTGGGCTGGAACCTCAGAGACTGCATTTCTTGCACGCTTCCAGTTAATGCTGCTGCAGCCACATTTCCAGCAGTGAGGGAATAATGCTTTGTGCACAGCAATGACTTTTAGAGCAACACTACTAAGCAGCCATTTCTGTGAGGGTCTGGCTCCCCCCTGACTTAGGGTTCCTTGAAAGCAGGGGCTGGGTATTACACATTGTGTGTGTGTGTTGATGTTTTGTTTTGTTCTCTGGCTGGTACTTGGCGCAAATCCCTGCACACGGTGGGTGTGTATTTATTTAATTAAACAGACCTGGCTTTGTTCCAAAAGGATCTTAAGTGGCCTTAACCCCTAGCAAGTCCTAACCAGCTGCGTGATGCGCTGGTCTGGGAAGGAAGTCCGCGCCAGGGGATCACAAACCCTCCTCTGTCCAGGCCCTTCCGCGAAGGTCCCCACCACCTCCGGACACCTGGATTACACCTCAACGGCATTTCTTTTGAAATTCTCCCTCCTAGCCCGTTTTGAAAGCGGTTTACGCTCGCAAGCCGATCAGAGACAAGGAGGAAAAACCCAACCCAACCCAACCCAGAAAGCACTGCGAAGCGTTCAGGTTCCCGAACATCAAAAGCTCACACTCGGCGGCCAGGCCACCGAACTCTCGGGTTCCTCCCCCTGCCCGGTCTCCAGCGTTTGGCAGGTCGGCGCCGCGCCCCGCCGCGAGCTCCCCCGCCCGCCCGAGGGCCCTGCCGGAGCGGGTCCCGGCGGGCGCAGGCACCGTTGGCGTGGTGTAAGCCTGTTTGTTAGCTCTGCCCGAGCAATTAATCTTCCGGGGCATCACCCGCCCCAGGAGGGGGGTGGGCATCGGGTCGCCTCGGGGGTCGCGGGGAGCCGGGCGAAGAGCGGTCGCTCCACAGAATTCCTTGTTGCGAGAGTCCCTGCGGTGCGGTAACCTGTTCCTCTCGGCAGCCGCCTGGGAGGGCAGCGGAGGGCTCGGCTCCGAGGGAAGGAGAGAGCCGGGGAGGAGGGCGAGCGTGTGGGTCACTAGTTGAGCCGCGGGGGAGGGAGGAGCGCCCGGGGGGTGCGCCCTAGGGACGGACTACACGTGCTGGGGGAGGGGTGAGAGGCGGGCGGCGGGCGGGGAGCGAGCGAGCGAGAGCTGCGGGCGGCGGGCGCCACGGCCTCGCAGACGCAGGCGCCGGCAGCCTGAGAGAAAGTTCCCGACGAGAGCTCGCCCCCGGGAGGCCGACGTCCAGGTGCCTCGCGGCCAGGCTCCCAGGTCCCGCGCGTCCAGCCCGCCTCCCCGTTCGCTGGGCCGCCCGGGCTCTGTTCGTCAGGAAGGAGAGAAACGTCTCAAGCCGGTGGCGGCCGCCAAACTTGGAGGAGGAGGATGCCACGAGTGGGAGCTGCGACGCGGGGCGCGGGGGAGCACTGAGTGCTCCCGGCCGGCGCCCCCGGACTCTGCCGCCAGGGCTGTGGCCGGGCCAGCGCGCCGACTCTGAGCCCGCAGGTAGCGGCCGCAGC